CATTTGAAATATATGAGTTTGTATGTAATGTATGAATATAATATACAAGTTTCACTTTTTAAATGGAATTACTGAAATAAATCTACTTTTTTCATGATATTCTAATTTTATGACCAGCACCTGTACATGCACTGTATATACACACATAAATGTATACATACATGTATGCACATATATACACAGCCCCAAACATCTCCATATATTGCAAAAAATAAAATAAAATAAATAATGAAAATACTCTGCCATACTCAGCATCCCTATATATTTTGTAAATAACATATTTATACATCTACTTAATTTTTTTTTTTCATGTTTGGACATTTAAGTTCCACACTCAGACGGTTCCACAGTTTTACTTCACCAACAGAAATACAAAACCCTGAGTTGTATGAACAATCCTTGATTTAAAGTTAAACTGACCCCTTTAATAATAACTCCCCCCCCCCTTCAACAAATAATTTCTAAATATTTTCTGGTAATAATTAGTTTTTTGCTTTAAATGTTATTAGTGCTGTTTGTACCTCTACCAGATCTGTACATTTTAGTAGTTTTGACAAAAAGAAAAAAGAATTGGTCCCTCTCCAGCCCCATGAATTATCCTTATTGCTTTCTTGTGAAAGTTAAATATATTTTTATATAGGTTGTGTTTATTTATTTCATTTCTGCGAGCCTGTCCACTGAGACATAAGGGGTAAAGGGTTAGTCCACGTCTTCTGCAGCCATGCCCCCCTCCCAGTGTTCATCCTGCTCACAGATCCAGTTGGCCGTGGTGCTGTCTAATGTCTGGCTTTGCCTAAAGCTGCCAATGTGAAGCGATTTTAAAGAAATGTTAGGATCTGGCTACAAACAGCTCCAGATGAAGGTGACACTAAGTGACAATGTGGTCAAATATTACTAGAAGTGTGTGTTTTCAGGCCACACTGAGCTTGGACGTGTTTATGTGTGTATATAAGGCTGGCACTGGTCACCGTCTCCTCTGCTGTTACCATGACAATATCAACCATGCCAGGCCGTCCCCATATGGTTGCTATGGTAATGTTCCTGTTTTTATTTATTTATTAATTTATTTTGGCTAATGTCGGTGGGCCAGGTGTGTCTGTCAGCTGGTGAGGACAGGTGGATGGTGGGAGTCTGAACCAAAGACTCGTAGAAAGAAACGTGTTCTGAGTGATTCACTGACGGTGATATTCATTCATTCACTTCCTGTTTACAGTATTTTCCCTGAGCCCCTCCACACTATAAAAACAGAAGGGTTGGATTTTTTTAACTAACTTATGTCAACAATTTCCCCTCAGCTTGAACAAATGTAAAGAAACTTTCATGTTTTCTTTACATTTACTCGACTCAGCTGAGTGGAAATTATTGGCATGTTAAGTAAATCCAACAATTTGTTTTTTAAGTGCAGTTACACTAAAACCATTCAACCTGAGAGATTGAACATGTTGGTTTGAGGGGCAGATTATCTCTGACTGATTCTCAAAACTACAGTTCTATCAATTTTCATCGACCCGTTTTTGTGCCCAGTCAGTGTAAAAACTGAAAAAATAAAATAATATTAAAAAAAAAGAATATTCTGAGTGGCCATTCAAAACCAAAATAATTAGCATTTCAAAATTCACCCTGAAACGTTTTCAAATTGGGTTTGAATCAGGCAACAGAAAATTTGAAATTAAATATAAAAAAAGAGCCAGGTTGTACTGGATCTGTTTTTTAAAGTTCTTGTTTTCAAAAAGTCGAACGTTTGGAATTTTTTTTGTAGTATTGAGTAAATGGCTTTACTACGACGGAGTATCAGGGCCACACATCGAGATTTTTAAAAAAAAAAATTTAAATTACGAGAATGAAGTCATAATGTTACGAAATTAAAGTTGTATGAAAATAAAGTCGTAATATTACGAGTTTAAAGTCGAGTTTAAAGTTGTAATATCGAGTTGAATCAAGTCTTTCAAGAATCTGAAAATTTTCTTACTCCACTGGCAGAAAATTTTCACTTAATTTGAGTCAAATTTTCAGACTAACAAGACAAATAATCTTACACATTCTGAAAACAAGATGATTATTCTTACACAATCAGTTCTTGTTTAGTAAATCAGTCTCAAAACAAGATCAAAAAGACTTTTTGGCTGATATAAGACTTTAAAACTTGACAAGATGGACAGTTTTTGCAATTTGTTCCAAGAACGTAGGAGAACCTTGTAATTTGTTACATGTGAAGTGTATTTTTTTTCTTGCTCAGTGTGATAAAGAGCTGCTCTGACCGTTTTATTGCAACATCGTTTTAAAAAAACGTAGTACTTTTTTAATGTTAGACGACACACAAATAATCATTTTTTTCTGCCTTAAATATGGGACCTCACAAGTCCCAGTAATCTTGTAAAAACACAAAACTCCACTGAATCTGAAGGCAAAATGTACACATGATGTGCAGAAAGAGCTGTCCTCTATAGTTCTTACAGCGGGTAAAATAAGTATTGAACACGTCACTATTTTTCTCAGTAAATATATTACTAGAGGTGCTA